GAACTATATCCAACAATATTAACTATTAATATACAAGAATCTCAATGCGTAATAAAGAATAAACAAAAAAAACAAGACAAAAACTATATGACAAAGATAAACAAAGGCAGTAAACAATCACAACAAGCAGCAACAACAAATAGTAATAACTAAAAGCCAACAAGTTATATGAAGCAAATATTGGCAGAATGTCTTGAAAAAAAGTTGATATATCTAAAAGCATGAAAGTAGTATTAGAAGATATTTAAGACTTAACAATAGCAATAACTAATAAGATGATAAATATACAAGTAGAAGAAATAATAGCAGAATATGCTGAACAGAAACTAATTTTAAAAGAAGTAGCCAAGACACAAATAAAGAGCTTTATATAAAATTATAGTAGTATAACAGAGGTAAACTAGATTAGAGTACACAGAACTTGCATTTATAAAAAGAGACCAAGAGGCCTTTTAAGATATAATGCAAAAAGAAAAGACCCAATTAACTATATTATAATGAAAGAAATAGTTAGTATCATGATGTATTAAAAATAGCTAACAGGATAAAAAAAGTACTAGCAGATAAAGAAAGACAAGATACTATAATAAAGTTGAAACTAGAATTAGATTGAAGCAAAAGACTTCAAGAACAAAGAAAAAGTTAACAAAAACAGCTCAATAAAATAGCCATGAAATCTATAATATGTTAATTCAAAAAATCTATCAAGTTTACCTTAGTAAACTAGCAAAAGGCAAGAAAAAAGCCAAAGAAGAAAAGAAGAAGATGCAAGTTTGGCAAAAAGAAAAACAAACTATTAAAATAAAATCGATGTTAGACCTAAATTGGAGCAAGAGACTTTAAGAACAAAAGAAATTTTGACAAAAGCAGCATAACAAAATAGTATTAAGAACTCTAGTAATACAATTTAAAGTATCTATCGATTTTGTCACAGCAAGCTAAGAAAAGAAAAAAAGGTAAATCAGAAAAAAAATAAAATAAAATAAAAAACAAAACATTCTAGATCTTACAAAAGCAAAAATACTAAACAAAATTTAAGAAAAAACAAGACCAAAAAATATACCAACAACCTAACAGAATAGCTGATAGAAGCAATATATCAAGCAAGTATCAAAGATTTACAACCCAATAATAAAATATAAAAAAAGAAAAAGAAAGGCTTGCTTGCAAAATAGATATATTTGACAAAGACTCAATAGAACTACAATATAAATACAACTCAAGATATACTAGTATCTAAATTAAAGAGAACCAAGAATTGGAAAAGAAAAAAAAAGAATATGATATTACAAATAGTAAAAAAGATTTTTGTAGAATGCTTTAGAAATCTGAAAATTTTCATCAAAATACAAGAAAATTTTTAGAAAAAAACCAAAATTTAGAAAGAAAAAGAAAAGAAAGAAAATAAACAAAAAGAAAAAAGAAGACACTCTTACTTAGACTATGAAAGAAAGAAAACCTAAGTAGATTGACCAAGACTTAGAAACAGAAGAACACAAAGAAGACCCAAGATACTTAGAGAAAATGAAAGTCTTTAGAAGAATATTTCTAGAGAAAAACTATGGAACAAGCTCTTGAAAAGGAAAGAGAGAATTCAAAACTATGAAACAGGAGAAAATGCTAAAAAAAATACAAGAAGACTCCCAAGAGCTAGGTCTTCAATCAGAAAGAACAGGTTAAACTAGAAGATGAGGAAAAAGAAATAAGTAATATTTCTTGGATAAAAGAAAAAGTAGAACTATTTATTATTAAGAAATTAGATCTAGAATGTTATAAAAAAGAGAATAGATTAGAAAAAAAAAACTGCTAATTAAAAGTAGTTAAAAATTATTTTTTTGCTTTGAAACTATTTTGTTATAGTTTTACTAGCTAGCTTTATCAGCAAAATATATAAATATAATCTTATATAAGATATTATAGTCTGTAATATTATGCAAGGATTATGATTAATATACAATATTGCAAAATAATCAATTATGAAATATTATGCAAAAAAATTACACAATATTACTGAATATATTACAAAAATAATTTCAAATATTTTGAAATATTTTAAAATAATTTAAAACAATTTGAAATAATTCAAAACAATTTGAAATAATTTGAACCAATTTGAAATAATTCAAAATAATTTAAGTTTATCAAAACAGAAATAACAATTTTTATAAAATAAATTAAATATTAATTTAAAAATATTTCAAAATTATTCAAATCAATTTAATATATATTGATATATTCTAAATAAAAAATGTAATAAACTGAAATTTTTATAAATTATTTGGAATTACTCTATTTATTAATAACTTTATAGATATTATTTTATGGTAAGCAACTCTGTGATCAACCAATCAAAATCGATCATGTGAATTATATAATTTTATTTATTAAAAAAAAAGTGAATTTTATATAACACGAATCATACAACAAATATGCTAAAATAATTACAACAAAATAAAACCAACAAGACAAAATTCATATAGAAGATATGAATTTTACACCATAAAAACTTCAACACCAAGTTGATGACTTCAATAATGAAGGTTTTGATATTACAGAAATTAACTCCAATGATGAAACACCAAAAGCAATGACTTTAACAATGAAGGCCCAAACACCCAAAATAACAACTTTACTAACAAAGGTTCTGATACTACAAATGATAACTTCAACAACGAAGATTCTGATACTATAAATGACAACTTTAATAATAAAGCACTACAGATAATGATTTCAACAACAACTTCAATAACAATTACGTCAAACTGCGATTCTGGTAATAAAAAAAAGAATATTAGTTAAGGTAAGGCAAAAAATAGATTATACAAGTAAAAAAATAAAATAAAATAAAAAGACAAAAAAAATGAAAAAAAAGATAAAAGAAAAAAAAACCAAAAAAAAGAAAAGATAAAAAAAAGAAAAAATAAAAAAAAAGAAAAAACAAAAGAAAAAGAGAAAGAAAAAAAAAAGAAAAGATTTTGGTTAATTTCAGTT